TTTTACTTGATGTTATTACTGTGTTTGTGCACACTCTTGGTCCTTTTTCCCCAAAGTTCTGATGCTAGTTTAGTTTGCAGTGGTCCCTGTAGTATTACAGAGTTTTGAACTACATCTAATTTTGTATTGCATATTTTTCGCCATATCGCAAGATTTTGTGGTTTAGAGAATGTCTTTTTTAATATAAATTCATTATTTTTTTCAGTTTATTTTGGTAAAAATAAGCATTTTCTACTATAAAAAAAGATAAAAAAAGGGAACATGCGGCATACAGTAGATGAGCAGACACAATACCCACAACGCTCACTTGAGCCCATGTGAGATCGGACCCGGCACGCTATTGGCCGATGGAGGGGAGGCGAAAAACCAGTTTTATGTCTCCCATGTGGTCTCAGCATGTCCATTTAGCGTTGAGCATAGTGGTGCTCAGCAGGGCTCTGTTTGTGTACTAGCACGGTTCATAAGAAGGGTCACAGGGTTTGTTACTACACTGTCATACACATCCATATCTCTATAGTGTGTTATTTTCAGTACTCCAGGCTTGCAGAATGGTCCAGCTTTGAGTTTGGGAGCTCTGGCCTCTTACACTGGATCAAAAACCTGGGGGTTACTTTTGATTGCAGCATGAAATTTGATAAGCAGATTAGTAATGTTGTTAAAATGAGCTTTTTCCAGCTTCGCCTGCCGGCTAAGGTTAAGCCCTTTCTGAGCAGGCTCGACCTAGAAAAGGCCATTCATGCTTTTGTTAGTTCAAGGTTGGGCTACCGTAATGCTCTTTATGTCGGTCTGAGTCAGACGTCCGTCTCGTGCCTTCGACTTGTGCAAAATGCTGCTGCTCGCTTTTTTTTTTTTATGTGCACACATCACTCCCGTTCTCTACTACCTGCATTTTAGAATAGATTTTAAGATTTTTATGTTTGTTTCTTAAAGCTCTAAATGCTCTATCTGTCAGAAATTGTAACTTTGCGGTGCATTTTAGAATAGATTTTAAGATTTTGTTGCTTGTTTTTAAAGCTCTAAATGCTCTATCTGTCCAAAATTGTAACTTTGCAGGATCACAACCGGTCATTGTGGTCTTCAGATCAGTTGGTTTTAGAAGTCCCAGGGTCACCGTATAAACGGGGGGGGGGGGGGGTCAGGTTTGGCATTTGCTGCCCCGATACTCTGGAACTAGTTACCCCTAGATATTCAAACTGTTCCAGATATCGCACTTTTTAGGTCCAAAATCAAATCATATCTGTTGAGTCTGGCTTTTTTTTAACGTATCAGTGGTGTGACAGTTTTCATTCTGTTGTTTCTTTGTAACCTTTTCTGATTTTACTGTTTTCTATGTTCACTCTTCCTATTGTCTGTTGTGATTTGACTCATTCTGGTGAGCACTTTGGATGCCTGCTGGTTGTTGTAAAGTGCTATATAAACACATTTTGATTGATTTATTGATGATATATGATTCATAAAAGGAAAATAAGGTCACTACTAATAGGCAGATTTTATCCTATTGCAGTGGATGAGAGATCAGTCTGTTCCATGCCCTTACCTGAACTTACCCCCCCCCCCCACACACTACCCTACTGTCTGGTTCCTGCCTTGTTTATGCTCCTTAGTTTGTCTCGGTCATTGTTTTTCACTCAGTCTTTCTGTCCATTGCTTGCGCGTTCGTTCCCTCTGGTTTGATATGCGTCCTTTGTGTTTTCACTGTCTGGTCCACGTTTTTTCTGGCTGGATTTTCAAACTGCGTGCAGACACAGTGCCCCTAAACGCTTCACACATACGATCGGACCTTACATACGGCGCCTTTCTGCTTTAATTCATTTCGACGAGGCTTCGACTCGCTTGCCTGCCGAAAGCTGCTGGCAGCAGAAGCTGGTGTTGCCTCGAGACTTTCTGGGCCCAACAAAGGAGGCTTTGTTCCTCCCAAGCTTTTTCCTCCATGCTCGGGTTAGCAAACGGTGCCCTTCTGCTGCTGACATGCCTCATACAGGGATGCTGAGGCCGGGCGGGTGGGAGAGGGCCGATTCGGCCGCTGTGCTTCTGTGGTTTTTGATTTTTTGTTTGCTTAAATCGTAGTTTTTCTACACTGATGTTCACTTCTAGGATAGAAAGTTAGAGGGATAGAAATGTACACGGCAGTATTTTTCTCAAGTTAGTCAAATGACAAAAACATAATCCTATCCTGTTCGGTATGTATATTTATCTCCAGGTGATAAATAAATCCTACACCACACACCTGTGTCATGTTTCAGCTTTCAAGACAATTATTGCTAATAGAAAAATCCAATACTGATAAATGATAAAATATTAATAAAACATTAAGTGAGATACACACCAAAGGGCGGCCCGTCGTAACAGTGGAGAGCTAGCTAAAACCATCCATTCAGAATTTGATGCTAATGACCATACGCATACATGACAGGAGAAAGGCACGCCTTTTCGTGTTTGTGCCTTTTTGTGCGCACAGTTTTGGTCGTCAAACTAAACGCAGGTTCATGCAAATGGGCCTGATCTAAGAAAGGAGTTCTGACAGGAGACAGACTGACCTGAATTCCAGCAAAACCTTCAATATGGCCGCACAACATTTGCATTAATCTTGCTCTGTAGATGTGAGACATCTGCAACTAACCCTAACCCACTGGGGTTCCACGACATTTAAACTGTGTTTAAATTCTGCTCAGGTAAATCCCTGGCAAACTTTTGACAGAAGTCATTTGTCCTCTTTAGGTGAGGGTGGAGCTTATTGATGAAGACAGTGTAGGTACAATTAAAACTGGGACTTATTAGATTCATTTTGAATCAGATGGTGAAGGATGTCTTTGTAACTGCAGTATAGAGACGACTGAACCAAAAAATACTGCTACGATATTGACAACTGAACTCTCCACCACCCCACTGACTCCTCTCTTTGAGCATGGTTCTCAATAACTAAACTACATTTCATCACATGCTGCTATTGATTCTTTTAGATTTTATAGCATTTCATTTGTCCAACCTGATAACTAGTTGATTAGACACTCACATTCTGCTTTACTTATCACGTCCACCTAACTGAGATTAAGACAATGTATTGTCAAAATCCTGTCTTCATATAGGTAGTCAACAACGGATAACAGGGATGCTGATTCGTCTGTATTTGGTGGATTATAGGTTTTTTCTTCACTAAGCTTTAGTTTTGTTAATTATATTTTTTATTGGATTAATTGCACTTTGCATTTATTGAAGTCATTTCTGAGGATAAGGGTCATGGCAAGAACCTACAGCCATATAGGACAAGATACTAAAGCTAAATATAATATCAGGCTAGCTCTCGTGGGAGTCCATTATCTTCTTCACCTGGTGGTGGCAATTATTGGTTCCTTATTTAAGCTTCTTGGGTTCTGCAATTCATTGTTAGTTTTTCTTAACCTCTGTCAGAATCCCAAAACCTTGGCTCTTGATATCTAGTGTCTTGACCTTTGCCTCGTCTTTTGATTACACTTTTTAGATCTCGGACTACTGTTGTGTATAATACACAGATAGTGGATATCTAGTGTTTTGACCTTTACCTTTACATCAAGCTCCTGAAATAAACTGAGTTTGTACATTGGATTCCTCCCTGAGTCCTAGCCAACACGAATCCAACAGACTCAGATCCCATGCAGCAGGCAATTAGGCAGCAGGTGCACAACATTCAAGTTTAGGAGAGAGCCATTGCATCTTTACAACAAGAGGGGCAATCCCATGCCAACCAAGCTGACATCCACGCTTTACTGAACGACCAGTTTGGCCAAATGGTGTCCCAGATCCAAGCAATGCACACAGCCTTCAAGTCTGATCCTGCCTCCACACCCTCAGTTCATGGGACAGCAGCCTCAGCAGCATCGGCCGGCTCTGCCAACCTGCATGTGTAGACTCATGACAAGCAACTGTCATGAAGGTGGTTCTTGAGGGAGGACTCAGTCGCGGAGTGAGGGAAAACAAGGTTTATTTTAACAAAAACAGGGAGAATGTCCAAACAAAGTACAAAGCAAAGCTGTGGAAAACTGTGGTCAAAGTATCAAAGCAAAGCAAACAGGACTGTGGGAAAACTATGACAAAGTAACAAAATAAAGATTAACCAAAACTGTGACAAAACTGTGGCTATGACGAAAACTATGGTAAACAGACCTGGCGTGGGGGAGACGACGGACAAAGACGAAAAAGACGAAAAACGCACTCGCACAAGACAAGGGGAAACGAGGACTATTTAAACACATGGAGGGAAACCCCAGGTGTACACAATAGGTAATCAAGACGAGACGAGACACCAGACGTGACAGCAACATTACCTTTGTTTTTTACCCATTTTAACTTCACTGTCTCCTATCGGCCAGGGTCTAAGGTCTCTTTTGGATCCTGGACTTTTTTACATACTCAAATCTCCTGAAATAAATTTAGTTTGTACTCTAAATTGCCCTCTGAGTGCTTGTTAACAAGAAGTTTTCTTATTTTGGTTGTAAACCCTGAAGTGAAAAACCAAACATGTTGCGAGAGCACTCTGAACAGCAAACATTTATCCAGGTATGAAGGAAATGGTTTTAAAGGACAAGAAATGGTTTAACGACTGTAAAAGCTTTGTCGTTTTAGCAACTAGTGCTAACGACACTGTAGTTGCACTGTCTATAAACATGATACTTGAAACATGCAAGTAAAAAGCTGTTACTCAGCTGGTGACCTCAGGGACACCCAAGATCAAAACACCTTCCTCCTGAGATTTACAGTATCTATGATTATTGGTTTCCTCCGGCAAGTCCTGCAGTTACCAAAGATAGGCATAAATCAACCTTCAGGAAAAAGCTCAACAATTCCTTAACTTGCCCGCATAGCTCAGAAAAGAATGGAAGGATCAAGGACCTCCCCCAGACATTCACAGTTCATCCTCATCACCTGTATGGCCTTACCAGGTGTGTCCAGACCAAAAGATCCAGCTTTGCCCCTACCTTCACCCAAATGTAAAAGACATATGGCTGCTAGTCTGATAGAACTTCCAAACTGATGTCACGTCTAGGGGAATGTCTGGTGTCTCGTCATGTGTTGATTACCTATTGTGTACACCTGGGGTTCCCCTCCCTCATGTGTTTAAATAGTCCTCGTTTCCCATGTCCTGTGCCAGTTCGTTTTCGTCTTTCGTCTCTCGTCTCCTCACATCATGTAAGGTTTTGATTATTTCCCATAGCCATGTTTTGCCACAGCCTTGCCACAGTTTTGTTCATCTTTATTTTGTTACTTTGCCATAGCCTTGTTAGACCATTGCTATTTTAATCTTGTTTGTACTTTTGCCACAGTCTTGTTTTGATACTTTGCCACAGTTTTGTTACCTTGCTTTGTTACTTTGCTCATAGTTTTGCCACAGCCCTGTTTTTTAACCTGTTTTTTGTTACAATAAACCCTGTTATCTGCATCTCCGTGCCTGAGTCCTCCATCAAGATCCACCCTTCCGGACAACTGATCGTTGACATTTGGCCCAAGGTGGCCTGGTACTAGGTATACTTGCGAACCAACACATATTCGAACAAACATTTGTAATGGACAATCCATGACTAACACAGAAGTCCAAAAACAAAACACCTCTCAGGTTCAGATCAAGAAGGCTGTTTGTCCAATCATACCTCTCCAGATCACTCCATCATTAGCCATGTGGGTTTAAAAGTCTCCTGGTGGGACATTTGGATGTGGGACCCCCCCCCCCCCCCTAGAACCTCACCTAGAGACTAAAGGACCAGGTAGTCTGAGCTGCAGATTGTTTCATGCTTAAAACCAGAACATTCAGTTGCAATACTTCCCTACTTTGATTTAGTTCATACACCATCCTAGCTTGGTTCCCAAAATGATCTGGTAAATGTGCTGCTCCACTATTTCTGTTTTTAACTTAGTTTTGTCATACTACGCTTCTCTTCATTGATGTGCACGACAGATGACGCATGAAAATATAGCATAACCTGTGGAGCCACTTATGCCACATTACAGTGGCGGGCCGTGCATTTTACACCTAGGCCTTCAGTAGTGCTCCGTCTGAATCAATTCACCCCTCAATAACTATTTTATGGTTATAGAAATCATCTTAATATGTAGAAATACAGTAGGGATGTCCCGATCCAGCTTTTTGTATTAAAGTTGATTTTTTTTTTCTACTTACTTAGTTGTCAGACTCATGTTGAACAGGGATTTACTCTTATAACAACTAAAGTTTACACAGACCTGTGGGTTAGGAGATGCTAATGCTAATGCTCGGGTTGGATCGGACTTTAAAAAAAAATGTATCTGGAGTCTCGATTGGCATTTTCTCATGCCGGCCGATACGATCCAAATATCGGAT